AGGATTGCCTTGGAGGAAAAAGACGTTAAAACAGTAGCCGCGGTGTACGTGGGCCATTAATATTTGAGATTGCCGCAACCGGTTTCTGAATCCACTGGCAAGGTAAAGCTTCTGTGGCTACGCGGTTAGAGGGTGATACCGGGCGACCGAGAAGTCCGTAGGGGGATTACAAATCTGGCCTTCGAGAGGTGCGCGGCGATTTATTGGCTTTGAAATGTTCCACGTAGGATCGAGCTTAAAGCACGAGCGATTGTGTGGAGCGTTATTAACTTGAAGGTGTTAAAATAATGGGAAATTGATATCATCGTTAATTAATCTGCTTTGTTCTATTCGATCTTACAAGTCAATGTTAAAAATTTGCTATTTATTTTTCAGGTTTTTATATTCATTATTTAATACAATAGATTATTTTTTTTCTTAAGAATTTGTTACAGATTTCATTTTTCTGTAATTTGTGTATATTGTATGAATTGTACAATAAAGACACATATAATTACAAACTGATGTTTTATTTTAATTGATTTTAATTTTAATTTATTTTAAATTTACTTTAAATTGATGTGTGTGTCCTTTAATTGGTATTCTAATTCACAATGATGTGGCTCATTTATGACAATTCTTGAGCATTTCTTTGAGAGTTATTTTGGTGAAATTTCAAATCGTAACCCAGATAGACAGATGCGCATAAATTTTACTGCAACTTTACGTTGTATTCGATCATCAAATCCGTAATAGGTGAGGCGATTGTGACCCCAAATATTGTAGTCATATTTAGTAAATCAGAAAATGAAATACTATGACGCAAATATGATGTAAATATGACAAACAAAAATCTGATTCTTAGTGTCTCATATTTACATCATATTTGCACATCATGATATTTCGTTTTCTGATTTACTAAATGCTGCTGCAATATTTCGGATCTTAATCGGCTCATCTATGAAGCATTGGATGATTGTAAGATAAACGTGAAGTTGCTGTAAAGTATATGTACATTTGTCTACTGAGTATATTTTAACGAAAAAAAAATTTAATTATAATTTAATTTGTTTTTATTTTTTTTAGATTTTATTTTTTATTTTCGGAATAATTATTAAGTTTATTAATTATTTTTCTGTACATACAAATTCTTATAATTATATAACGCAATTATAAATATTCTTGAAAACGCATGGAGTATCGACGGGATTTGAACCTACAATCTTTGGGGTGGTAGCCTACCTACGCTAACGCTGAGCTAATCGCACGCTTGTCTGAACACTTATAAATTTGACATATATTGGATTTTATTTTGTCATTCGTACTGATCATATATGTAATATGCATGTTTATATAC